GCACACCTGGGGTCTGGCTCAGCACGTGTTTAACCGTGCCTTCTGTGAGGGAAGCCCTGGCTCCAGGGATGCCCATGACCCCAGCCCAGGGGATAGAATGAACCAGTGGGAAAACTCAGAGGGCAAAGGTCGCACGGTGCAGTGTAAAGCGGACCCCCTCATGCATCTGAGGCCCGTTTGTGAAGGGCTTGTGGTCTGCTCGGAGTAGCCCTGATAGGCCCCGCCCACATCTAGAAGGAGTGCCAAATGGGTCTCTGAAGGCCAGCTACAGGCAGAACTCTGAGGCAAAGCTAACTCTGAAGAGACATGGGTGAAGGCAATTCTGGGCCTCAGGGAGGCCGGGGGGCTCCGTGGTTAGGAGCCCAGGTTTCAGACTCAGTGTGCCGCAGCCTGAATCTTAGCCATGCTGTTTCTGGGCACATGACTCTGCCTCTCTGAGCTTCAGTTTCCCCATCTGTGACATGGGCACAATACCGACTTCGGGCCTGCAAATCAGGACTAAACGAGGCGGCGTAGAAAATGGGCACCTGGCCCATTTCAGTACGTGATTGCTGACACTGTTACTGTGCCACTCAACCAAAATGCATTTTCTCTGGGCACTGCCCTCAACGCTGTGGGCATCTTGCTCAGAGGCCAGCTCCCTCCGTCACACTCTGATGGACTCTCCAACGTGGGCCTAGGCTAGGGCAGAAAGGGAGGTTCAGAGAGGCTGAGTGGCCTGCCCAAGGCCACACAGCTGGGAAGACAGAGGACTAGGACCTGACACCGGGTCTGCCCATTCCAAGCCCAGGGCTCTGTTACCTGCCCCCTCATGTCAACGAGACTTGTGGCCAGATGTCAGCTAGTAGTGGCAGGCATGACGATCAGGGTCCGGCTCCTCTAAGCGTGAGAGGGTTAGGAAATCACATTGGAAGGTGAATTGTCGTAAACAGGACCTTCTTGCTGGTGACTGTGAGTCTCTCTTCCCACAAAGGAACCTGAGTCATGCTCCTTCTTTCTATTCCAGGCAGCCTCTCTGGAGAGGATTTCCTCTGCCTGAATGTCTCGCCCCGACCAGAAGGAACATTTACTGGTTTTTGTCATCTACAGGCTATTTCTCCCTTTGTGGAAGCAGCTGTCTGATTTCTTCTGGGGACTATTTCTACTCCTCGATTAGTCTACACTCATTCTCCTCCAGTCCCTAGGCTGGCCCGGACTGACCCAGCCGTCGACCCAAGATGAACCAATGAGACTTTTGCTTAAATTGTTGGGGGCATTCTTCTTTTTCCTGAAGCCACTGAGCTGACCTGTTGGATACAGCTTGGAGGTGCGGCCACCACTGTATCACACACCACCCTGCTTGGGCATGAAGAAAGCTAAGAAGTGGAGAAAGGCAGGTCCTCGTGGACATTTTTCTCCTGGATCCAGCCACACCTGCAGCCTAGTACCCTTAGACATCTCAGTTACATTTGGCCGATCAATGCTCTTTTTGAATAATCCATTTTGACTAGGTTTCTGTCATCTGCAACTAAAACAGTTCTGACTAAAATGAGATCTCACAGCCAGTAAGTGGCAGTATTTGGATCAAGGCCCAGGATCTTAACCACTCTATTAAACTGGCATCGTCGCCTCCTCTGATCTTCATGCCAGTTCCTAGCAGCAACCCACGCCCATCAATAATCCCAACAGCTGACATTTGCTCAGGGCTTGACAGCCCAGAGACTGTTCGTACACATCATCACTCTTTTTAAAAAAGCAATTGAGAGATACTTCATGTACCATAAAATTCGCCCCTTTAAAGTGTACCATTCAGTGGTGTTTAGTACATTCACAAGGCCGCACAACCAGGGCCATCATCTAATTCCAGAACATTTCCATCACCCCCCCAAAAGATACCCAGTACCCAATAACAGCCTCTCCCCTTTTGCCCCTCCCTCCAGCTCCTGGCAACCACTAATCTGCTTTCTGTCTCTACGGATCTGCCTCTTCTGGACACACATCATCACTTTTAACTCCATATAAACTTTGTGAAATAGCCACTAGAGACAGGGGCACTAGACGGCACAGTGGCAAAGAGTGCGGTATCTGGTGTCACCCGCCCAGTTTCAAATCTAAGTTCGGACATTCACTAGCTGTGTGACCTTGTGCAAATGACTTAACCTCTCTGAGCCTAGAATTCTTCATCTATGTAATTTAATAAACTTAATATGAGGATTAAGTGAGTCATTCTATCTAGATGCTTAGCAGTCCGTGCTCCAGAAATGCCAGCTGTTTCTTTTGTCATTACCTTGTTACTGGTGAGGACAATCAGGCACAAAGGGGTTAAGAGGCGTGCCCAAGGCCTCATAGCACAGGTGGCTGGGCCCCAAGTCTCCTGACCGAGTCCTCTGCTTTTTCCATTACGCCACATTGGCCTAGCTGTTTCTCCACGAAAGCTTGGCCCTCTCCATACTCTTTTGTGCCAAGTTACTTTTGACAAAGCCAAGGCTACTCGCCAGACAGGAGGAAGGGGAGGGTGGGATCATGAAATCACCTCACTTTAGGGTGTCGTGGCCCCACACGGGCCGGCCTCCTTGCCTGCTCCTCGGAAACAGCTGACTTTGGCTGGTGGGATCCCGCCCTGCCCTCTTCCAGCTTCCTCCTCTGGGTTTTGGGGGGTGGCTGTTTCTAGGACAGCAGGACCCTCTGGAATTCTATGACTTTCCCACTCCAGCCACCCATCTGGGCCTCTTTAAGGCTGGCTGAAGCACTGCCTTTGGACTAACAGGGAGGGGAGTCTGAGGCAGCTATTTATGCTATACCAAACCCCCAATTATTGCCAATTATGCTGAGTGGGGAAGAAAACCTCACTTTTAAGTTCTGGTAGAAACAAGAAAGTTGAGTCAGAACAGGAGAGTGGAGGGAGTACAGGCTTTGGGCCAGGGACACTCGTGATCACGCTCTGGCTCAGGCATTCCCAAATGATGTCACCTCGGGCAAGTCCGTTCTGAACTGAGGGACAGCTAATGGCAGCTAATGTGCTTATTGAGCAAGGCGCAGCTCGATTAACCGTCACCACGAATGCATGAGGAAAGTTCTTTCATTCTTTAACATGCAGATGGGGAGACTGAGTCTCAGAAGCATACAGAGGTGACACCAAGCTGAGACCTGAAACACGAAGCTGAGACTTGAACCCAGTCTCTCTAACCCCAGAGGTCAAGGTCTAAAGCCGTGGGTATGCCGCCCTGCTGGCTGCAAAACAGCAGCCATGGATATTTCCACATGCCCTTCTCCTCACTCCCGTCTTCATCCAACCTCCTCTTCTAGATGATGCCGGAGCACCCCAACCTCTCTGGCCAAGCTGACAGGCGCGGAGGTACACTTAGGACCCTTGGGACAATCAGATTCTCTCTCTCCTGGAGACTGGACTCAGCACCTAGAAACTCCAGAGGGTTGACAACAGGGAAAAGTGAGGGACTGAGGTGCTGTCTGGGGGATGTGGGCCAATGGGCTAGGGGAGGAAGCCGGTCCAGAGAAGCTAGCAGTTAAACAAAATAGGCTTGATGGGAGACCCTGTGGCCACAATGACAGACGGCTGGGGAGCTGCTGGTCCTCTGAGGGTCATTCAGGTGCTGGTTCTGGGGCCCTGTGGGGCCAGCTTCATTTCCTGCTCTGGGGCTCCATGGGACACACCTACCTCCTCCCATAAATCTACCCCACTCCTCTCTTCCTGCCTAAGCTGCCCAGTGGCCACTTTGCTCTGTGGATTCCCGTAATCCCCGGGACAGCAATCCTGAGTGTGGCCGTTCTCTGTCCCCTCTTATCCTTCATCCTTCTTGGAGGTGTCAGGCAGGCAAGAGGCCTCTGAAAGCAAAATACAGGTGGTCGTCCCTACACAGACCCTCTGTGCGTGAAAAGTCAGTCTAGCAACTTCAATCTCTGAACTGAAGATCTGCTATAATAGATCTGCCTAAGTCACCCCTGCACCTGGCAAAGAGGTGTGGATCTTGGTCCTTCCTTCTCAGACAGGACGATGCCTCCAGCTCATCACATTCAAAGGTGTTGGGCATCATCTTCCCTTCCTTTCCCCCACGGTTCAGCCCCTTCCTGGCCCCCATGCTGCTCCTGCCAAGTCTGTTTTAGCTAGTCTCAGCATCCTTACCATATAGTCTCTTTGTGCACTTCTAGGTCTGCTGTAGACTAGAAGAAAAATATAATTTACATATGGTACTGTTTAATTTTGTTGCATTTTGTCGACACAGAACACCACTAATGAGGTCATTGCATTTTAATAATTAGGTAACAGGAGTCTCAGTTGGTTGACATTACACAACGACTCTTGGCAGTTTGTTATGTAGGCGTTTGAGATTGTTTTAGTGATACTGGGGAAACCTGCGAGAAGCACATTATCATCTCCTCTTCCTTTAAAATAATGAAATACAGGTTCTGAAAATTCTTTATTCAACATTTTTAGGAATGGATCAGGTCCATACAACCAAGATGTCAGTGGTTAATATCACCCAAGCTTCTAAAAGAACATGTGGGGTCAAGAGATAGGATGGCATGCAGGACACTGTGTTTGCCGGGACTTCTGGGAAGTGACCTTTCACTCTTTCCTGCTGAGTATAATCCCAGAGCGTTTTGTAACCACGTGGGATCTGAGGATAAAGCCAACACCACTGAAAGTAGGAATGCAGGATGAGAGGAAGGAGCTGGGTGAGGTGGTACCATGAAAACCCTGGATCAATCTGTGCCTGAAGCCAGGAAGGTTTTTCTCTCCTGGGATATTCAAACGTATGCTCCACAGATTTGCATGTCATTCTTGTATAGGGACCATGTTAATTTCTGTATCATTCTGACTTCAGTAGCTGTGCTGCTCAAGGGAGCACAATGGACATCATTTTTAAGTCTAGGAAAAAAAAAAAAAAAAACCACTCTGTGTCCACTGTGGGGTGAGCATCTAGACCCTGAAGTCAAAATGGAAAGTTAGTCCAATTAAACTTTCCCGACCCTGCAGCCCATTGGAGACTCCAAATCCTTACCTGGAGGTCAAAGAACTTGCTGTAGCGCCGGTAAATGGCCTCTGTGGAGCCACTGGACCACGTGACCCGGATGATATAGACCTATAGAGAGGGACAGAGGAGACAGGCATTAACACCAAGGGATCTCTTCCAACATCCAGATGGCGAACAGACACGTGAAAAGATGCTCAGTGTCTCTCCTCATCAGGGAAAATACAAATCAAAACCACAATGAGATACCACCTCACCCTTGTCAGAATGGCTAAAATGAACAACTCAGGCAACAAGAGATGTTGACCAGGATGCGGAGAAAGAGGAAGCCTTTTGCACTGCTGGTGGGAAGGCAAACTGGTGCAGCCACTCTGGAAAACAGTATGGAGGTTCCTCAAAAAATTAAAAATGGAACTACCCTATGACCCAGCAATTGCACTACTAGGCATTTATCCAAAGGATACAGGAGTGCTGACTCAAAGGGGCACATGCACTTCAATGTTTATAGCAATGCTATTGACAATACAAAGTACGGAAAGAGCCCAAATGTCCATCGGCGGATGAATGGATGAAGAAGATGTGGTATATATATACAATGGAGTATTACTCGGCAATCGAAGAGAATGAAATCTTGCCATTTGCAACTACATGGATGGAACTAGAGGGTATTATGCTAAGTAAAATCAGTCAGAAAAAGACAAATACCATATGATTTCACTCATATGTGGAATTTAAGACACAAAACAGATGAACATAAGGGAAGGGAAGGAAAAATAATATAAAAACAGGGGCGCCTGGGTGGCTCAGTTGGTTGAGGGTCTGACTTTGGCTCAGGTCATGATCTCACGGTCTGTGGGTTCCAGCCCCGTGTCAGGCTCTGTGCTGACAGCTCGGAGCCTGGAGCCTGCTTCAGATTCTGTGTCTCCCCCTCTCTCTGCCCCTCCCCTGCTCATGCTCTATCTCTGTCTCTCAAAAATAAATAAATATTAAAAAAATTAAATAATATAAAAACAGGGAGGGAGACAAACCATAAGAGGCTCTTAAATACAGAAAACAAACTCAGGACTGCTGACAGGGTGTTGGGTGGGAAGATGGGCTAAAGGGACGAGGGGCATTAAGGAGGACACTTGTTGGGACGAGCACTGGGTGTGATATGTGAGTGATGAATCACTACATTCTATTCCTGCAGTCATTATTACACTACATGTTAACTAACTTGGATTTAAATGAAAGGAAAGAGTTGGGGGTGGGGGCGGGGAGCTCTTCCATCTCCAGGACTCTGGAGTAAAGCACAGGGCTGTCAGAAAGACCTGGGTTTGAATCTAAGTTCTGCTGCTGACCTGCTGTGTGGCTTTGGAGAAGTTACTTGCTTTCTCTGGGCCTCAGCTTCCTCCTCAACAGTATGGGTATAACTCCCACCTCTGAGAATTATACAAAGGATTAAGTGAAATCAAGGATGGAGAACATTAACACCCTGCTCATCTCGGGAGATAGTGTTATTTTCAGCACTGCAGGGACTTCTTGCTTTCCACTCAATCCAGAGAGCCACGGGGCTGGCTATTTTTCCAGTCATTCTTAACACTTTGCCTTTTGTCAGAAGTTGCAGAGACCTATGGCTCTTAGCGCTCTGGTATTTCTCATAAGCTAAGCCTCACGCCACTGCCACCAGTTAGGGGCCTGGGGCCAAGTCATTTTCTCCCTCCAGGTGTGTTTCCTCATTGGTGAATTGGTCTGACAGCATCTGTTCAGGGTGACAGTGTAAGGATCTCACGCGATCGACGATGGGGGGGGGCAACCACAGGGCCATGTTTCCAATCATTGTCACAAGTCACGGCACATGCAGAAAATAATATATGATGTCAAATTTGGGCAAACTGAGGTGGCAGCTGGTCAGAGGCGGTACCTCGTGGCCCCGCACACCACCTGGACAATTAAAAAGGATGTATGTGAAAGCTCTTTGGAAAGGCGGAAATGCTGTATAAACGCGATGGGCTCGACGGTGATGGAGGTCATGAGCTGAGGAGTGGCTGGAGGGACAACACATACGTAAATGAAAATAACCTGTTATTTTTTGCCCAGTACTGATTCCCTTTTCTTCCCACCAAAGCTTTTTTGACTTTTCTCCTGGGAACCTCCTTCCCCACCCCAGCACAGTGCCTTAGATACAGAGGTGGGTGCCATTCATGATCCATGGTGATTGGTTGAGAAATGAGCACGTGACCTGTGCTGGGCCAATCAGAGCCAGCAAGAGTCGGCTCTTTTGCTCCAACCCTTAAAAAAGACAAGCTGTCTTTTCTTGGAAGTTGCTAGGCTTCGAGGCAGTCGATCTGGAGCTGCTGCGGGCCATCTCACTACTGCCTGCAAGGATGCCAACATCAGCAGGTTCCTGGGAACACAGTCGAACCGTTAGATCCAGTTCTGCTTGAAGCTCAATCTACTCCTGGTCTGTCAAGTTTACTGAGCCGAGAAACCTTGGGCCAAACCTGCCCTCTCGAATTATTTCTGAAGCCAGTTTAAGTTGGGTTTTTGACATAGGTAATCTAGTCCTGACCGAGGCAGGATGGGAGGTAGGAGAGAGCTCTCTGAAGCCTGGAGTCATCATGGTGCACTTTGAATGATGTGGAAACTTTACAAGGAAACTTCCATTCAAAATGGAACAGGGTGGAGAAACCATGGGGGGCTGGAGCCAGGGACCAGTGTGAACACCAGGGTCTCACAGAAGACCCCACAGAAGAAATGAATAATGGAAAGGTAATTCAGGACAAGGTGGGGAAGTGCCCTTGAGTGCCAAGCTAAGTCCACCATGAATGACCTCTCCAAATCCAACATGGAATTTATTTCAAAGAAGCATGATGGATAGGAAGAAACCTGGGCTCTAGACTCACACAATTTCCTAACCTTGGGGCCACAGCCTCCTTAACTGTAAAATGGGGTTAGTAAGCCCATCTCACACATTGTTACGATGGTTATAAGAGGCAAAGCTCTGAGCTCTTTGCCTGGCAGAAAGGAAAAGTTCAAGAAACTTTAGTACCCCGCACTCTGATTCCCCAGGGCCTGTCCCACCCTGTTCATAAAAACAGGCTATTTCAACATCAGAGATTTGGGCATCCGGGCCCACCCCCCTCCCTTGTTGGTGCTCCCTGGTCCTGGGAACCTCATGGAGCCAAAGAACAGGTCAAGACATCCTTTAGGAGTCACCTCGGAAAGGTGATTTTCTGACAAAAAAGAACTGTCTCCAAAGCCACCCAGATAGTTGTCAGTTTTATGAAAAAGACACCCATTCTGTTCATCAAGACTCCGGCACAGAGATTCTGAATGGCTCCCATTTGCCATTCATTCATTCATTCATTCATTCACTCTATGACATTTATTAAGTACCTCTTGTGTGCTAGACACTCTCTGGGTGCTGGGACGTAATGAAGAGCAAGAGCGACCTAGACCTTGCCCTTGGGAAATGGAAAGATGGGCAAGAGACCAGCAGACAAGCAAATACGTATGAATTATAAGTTCCAGTCAGTGCTTAGGAAGGACCCAAAGTCTGGGGGAGGCTGGGGTGGATGAGTGTCCCCGGAAGGGAAGGCCCACTGGGGCAAGCAGGCTTTGAACGGAGACCTGAGGGACAAGGAGCTGGCAGGGAGAAGAACTGAGAGAAGAGTATTCCAGGCAGAAAGAAAAGGATGAATAAGGATGCGGACGCCGGATGGTTCAGGACATGTCTGAGGTGCAGGAAGGCCGTCATGGCAAGCAGAGCCGGGGGAGGAAGGAGGCTGGGGCTGGGAGGCAAGCACCAGCGGCATTACGAGGGGCTTGCAGGTCACAGGGAGGAGATGGGCTTCTATTCTGTTAAGGAGTTTCAAAGGGTGGGTTGGGTGTGTGTGTGTGTGTGTGTGTGTGACATGATTGAACGTATGTTTCAAAAAAAGTTTTCCTATGTATCCTTCTGGCTGCTGTGTGAAAAATGGTTTGACAAGGAGCAGGGACACCACTAAGGAGGCTATTTCTGTCACTGAGAGGGACACAGCCAATCCAATGGCCCAACATCCAGATGGGTAAATTGAGGCCCAGAGAATACCATACCAAAAGTCTTGTCACTGGGGGATGCTTAAGCAAAGTCTGGATGACCATCTGTCAAGAATAATACTAATGTGGATTAAAAAGCAAGGGAAAAGGGGCGCCTGGGTAGCTCAGTCAGTTAAGCATCCGACTTCAGCTCAGGCCATGATCTCACGGTCCGTGAGTTCGAGCCCCGCGTCAGGCTCTGTGTTGTCAGCTCAGAGCCGGGAGCCCGCTTCAGATTCTGGGTCTCCCTTTCTGTCTGTCTCTGCCCCACTCACACTCTGTCTCTCAAAAATGAATAAATGTTAAAAAAAAAAAATAAAGCGAGTATCAAAATAAAGCTCGTTGAGTGAACTAAAAAAAAAAGGGGGGGGAAAAAGGTTGACCATCAAAGTTTCATTGTTTTCTGAAAACCAGTAAGAAAAACATTCCCATAAATGGAAAAAAAATTCTGCTTACACAATTCATTTTCGATCTCTTGTTTATAGTTTTTAAAGTTCTGTACATATGGTACAAGGACTCTGCAGCAGGCCTAATTGGCTTAGTGGAACCAACCTGTGAACACAATTTAATGTCTGCATTTTTAGGCACACATCTAATTTTTAACGAGCATTGCCCCAGTGCAGGGTTTTGGTCTTGCCCAGGGTTTGGGGTGGGTGAAAGGGCATACTCACTGGCTTCTAATGACAACCCTGTTGCTGAGTGAGACTCACACTCCACCAACCTCTCTGGCCGCAGTGTCCTTCTCTCTACTTTCCCTTGAGGATTCACTGTAATCACTAAGGTACATGGGGCTTTGCCCGATGCCTGGCACACAGGACATGTGCAAACAGTCTTTCCTGCATAGCAGCTGTCCGACACATTACTGCTTCTCTGGTTCTCCTCTACTCCTCTTGGTAACAGCACCTGATTTCCCTTGGAAGATCACTCCTCTGCCACCACCGGATCTTTGTGACAGGGAATGGGTGGGTGTCCCAGACTACTGTCTACCCCTGGCCTCCACAATGCTTCAGGGATGGGCACATGACCCAAGCCAGGCCAATGAGACTCAATTC